ATAGAATGCCGATTGACTACGTTAGGTAAGACAATTTATACTTCTCAATATAATATTTGTATTATTAATGATGGAAGTGAAAGCGTCACAACTTCAAATTTTACTAGTAACCTTAATATGGTGATAATGTTGATTTAGTAGATAAAAAAGGAGACAAAACTAAAAGCGCAATATTATCAACCTACAACTAACGATTGATAGATATTCTTATTCTGTACAGTATTTGCAGAATTAATATAGCTGCCTATGTACAGTCGTCAAAACATAGAATAGGCAATCATCGTAACTAGTATGACCTTTTTATAAATCGTGATAGAACCCAAATATATTAACAAGTAGATAAAAAGTATTATGTTCTGTATTTTACAGATTGCATTTATCCTAGCTTGTTCCACTTGTATACCAATAACTAAATATATCTACAAGTTACACTAGTTCAATCTGTTCATTCCATACCTATAAGGCATTGCAAAATTACTCCATTAACTTAACTTGGGCATACAGTATTCTAACCAAAATTAACATAAAGCAGATATATGATAGCTTATTCGACATGCAAGTACTGTACAGTCACAATCAATTTAAAATACTTATCAATCTGTTCATTCTATATCTATCACTATATATGCCTACAAGGACACACTAGGTCATGCTTTGAATATTAAAATATAAAGCATTGCAAAATTGGACATCACTCAATTAACTTAACTTGGATATGCACTATTCTACTCTACCCCAAAATTAAAAATAATTGGTGTTCAAACATGATTGATGCTCTAAATGTATAGCAATTTACTTTGTGTCTATTTCAATACATTCTACGAACCGAAATCTGATTAAACTTACTTTTCTTTATCATATGTAAGTAATGATTTGTTATGCATTTTCTTTACGAGATTCCGAGCTTCGATTTCATCGTAGTTCCATAACGATGCAACAGATTGAATAGGAATACCGACTCGCTTAAATACAGCTAGTTGCTCAAATAATGGTCTAATCTCATCATTTAAAGTATCAACACTTAATTGTAAAGTCCCGTATAGATTGAAACCGTAATGAGCTAATTCAATATCTGCAGACTTTTTGGCAATGATATCCTTTGCTTTATTCCACTCTTCATCAGTTTTTAAATCAAGACCACCAATTAAAGTGATAGCTAATGGTAAACCTTGACAACTGTCGATAACATTCTTGACAACTGGATTTTGACGCAATGTCTGATCATTATCGTTAACGGCAAGTAACGCAAGCAGTTCTATAGCTTCATCATACGTTAGTTTTTCCTATACAAGAGAGTATATGAAATAAGAATTGTATTTATCATAATTGTTCGGATAGGTTACTTAATGACAAAATAGAGAAATCATAGCGGTGAAGTTTTCTTCAACTATAACACTATACTCCATGCCACTTTAATTAATACAGTTGGAAAAAATTATAAATTCATTTTTGACCTTTTATTGCATGAAATGAACAATATCATCAGAGCAATTCAACTGTAACTGAAACTGAATTACAAAACTAACCGGTAAACGGATGCAGTGATGGTCGAGCTCATTTTCTAGATACTTAAATCGTGAAGTAGAGATTGACTTCTTGGCAAAAGATAAGTATTTGTAATGATCCTTTTTCCAGATATCGTCAAAAATAAATAGCGTCTCGGATAGTCGGCTATTTGCTGTTATAAGAATAATCAAATACTTATTAATACTGTACCTTAAATATGATTCAAGTTGACATGGAATTACTTATAAAAGGCTCAAAAATCACCTTCTAGACTAGAACTGAGATAAGCACAAATCTCGCTGATAGATTGAATATTCTCTTTCCATTCCATATTAAGTCTGATACCTAATGTCTTGAGTTCCTGGCATAACTCGATATTAGATATATTGCCTAAATTAAGATAAATATGAATCACCATCGCTGCTTTAAACAAGCATGGCAATTTAACGACCTTCGACAGCGCGTACATTTCAACAAAGTTAAGTTTAAAGGATCTAACAAATATGTATCTCTTTTCCCATCTCATCTTGCATTTTAAAGCATTTTACTTTATTTGCTCCAGTAGATAAAGGGATCATTAATAACATGATAATCCACTTATCGATAATCCCTAAAGATCTAACCCTAACAAAATTATGGTTCGATTTCATTTTATCTCTCGACGTAATATTGCCTAAAAATAGTACACAATCATAATACTACTTTCGACTACTGGTTAAATATGGCCAAATTTTTTAAAAGGGGAAAATTTCCACAATGTGATGATTTTTAAATCAGGTTACACTTATTAATTTGAATAGGAATTTATAGTTGATTCTCATATACTAGAAAATAAATTTTACTGTACTATTAATTATAAATTGTGATCGTTTTCAACGTCATTTAATGGGGTAAGGCAGCTATTTTATTATATCGTGGTCTGTAATTACTTTTGCTACATTATTTTCATAGAAAGAATTGCTCTTGTAAATATGATTGAACTACGAGTTAAAGTTATCTTACTAGAAGCTCGATAAATATGGAAAGATTAAAAACTATGATCATTACATGGTAGCCTACTTGATGGCATTTACTCATAAAATAAGGTTAAACTTATTTATCTCTTGGCAATACTTTTATCCATTCCATAAGAACAATGTTCTCATCTCGTACTTCTTATAATTCTTCTAATGATACTAGCAACTGCTTTCGGTCCGAAGTAGATAAGGGACAGGTGGGGTAAGCTTATGCTCTACTCCAAATTCGAATTGATCAATTTTGCAGATACATTGTATGGATAATTGTACAGTAATAGTCGCCCAAATACATTACTTATTAATACTTGAAATATCATCTGTAAGACTTACAAACTTACCAATTTTCATCCAGTAACAGCCATTTGATTTAAATAAGCCCTTTTTCAGTAGCTTGTCTAACAGACTGGCAAACAGTTGTTGTTTTACCACTACCAGCCATACCATGTATTAAAATTTGACCATTTGACTTGTCTATTTCCTGCAATTGAGTACAAATTTGGTCTACAATTTTCTTCCTTATAACGTAGTGACTGTTTGGAGTTAGAGGAAGCTGTCGAAGAGGAATTTCTAATTGTGGAATGAATTATGTAGAATGGAGAATTTAATAAAGGAAG